TTGTTGACTTTTACCTCTTGTCTGCATTTAAATTACAGTCTTTGGTCTTATACATTCTTTTCACTTAATTAATATCAATTTGGCATTCAAACTATTCTCAATCATATTGATAAAACTGGTTTTTGTAATAGTATTCTTCATCAACTCAGTCCCTGTGGAGACGATACTTTACTCATTACTATATTACTTGTTCGATTGCGTGCGCTTGCGTGGAGTCATTTTATGCATAGAGTTTTTGGCGAACACCAACACTTACACGATACAATCTCACCGGCAAACCAAGAATGGATCGATGAATTTAATAGATTAACTTTTAATTTTCAAGATGATCCTTCTACTTCATCTTGATAATTTCTTTGTAAATATTTATTTACTTTGTAATTTCTAATTTGTATAGTGTTTATTGTAATTTGTAATCTTGTATAGACTTTGTAAGTTCATCAAATTTGTAATTCGTCCCACAATGATTGCACTCTTTTTTCCTTACCAAGTTTTTATCCCAATTGGGTTTTTCTTGGTAAGGTTTTTAATGAAGCAATCATGAATTACAAATTTAAAAATCAATGAAGAAGTAATTTTTTTTTATATAGTTCGTTCGTGTCGTGTGTTCATTTCATATTTCAAATTGTAATATACACAATTACACCTTGTAATTATACAAATACTTATTTCAACAACATAAAAATATAATATAAAAAAAAAAAAAATTTCGGGCAGCCAGTCGGGCATCGGGCAGCCCGACTGGGCACGGGCAGACTTCCTCTGCCCGAAGCCCGTCCATGGGAATTTTTGGGTCGGGTCGGGCAGCCCGAATTTTTGGGCAGATCGGGTTCGATCATCGGGCAAAAATTCGGACTTTTCGGTGGTCACGGGCGGCCCGTCCAAAGTTTCAGCACTGATGGAGAATATGAGAAGCTTGCCTCCAATACCGTAGGAAATGTGTATCATCTTATATTCTCTTCGGTTAGATTGGCCCAAGGACTAACCTGGGCCTTCATATGCCTCAGCTATCCACCTTAGTTCATACTCGCAGCCAGAAAACTGTTTGCTTTTTTGTTTTTTATTCTTCATTATTACTCTTTTAATTAATACAATTCTTTAACTAAACAAAATATTAATTAAGAGTAACTAATTAAAAATTTAGACTCATGCACTCAGTATTTGTCTCTTTTCTCTTATTGCATCTCTACACTATTAAGAATCAAAAGAACCAATTTTTTTTCCCTTTTTGGCTTTGAAAAATATTTGATTATTTTTTTCAATGTAGATTAATGACCTCATAGTGTATGCATGTGTTTTATCATAACAGTACATGATTTGTCATGATTTTATGAAGACCTATTATTTATACCATTTTAAATAATTAAGTATTATTGTAGCCACTAATTTTCTCTCTATTAATTAGATTGTAATTATTTATTTTTAAGTGGAGTGGTATAAATATTTTTTACTATGTTGAGCGGTAATTTTTGAGTTTTTTTACTTTGTTTTTCAAACAATGCTTGTCCATAACTAAAAAGTCCATAACTCGAAAACTTCATTTCATTCAAAAAAAGCACGAGGATTTATTTACATAACTACGATCCCCAGTCCCAGCAAATACGTGTAGTTCTGGACAGCATATAAAACAGGAATACAAGAAGGGATTTTTTTTTTTTTTTTTCCTTTCTTCTATTTGTTGGAGGAAACTTAAGGCCTTGTTGTTCTCCTCTATTTCTGTCTCTTGGCCATGCACTAAAAGTCTAAAATGCTATTGGGATATATATATATATATATGACCTAAGCATTTGCACTAAGCATTCTCCTAGAGAGACATTAAAGTAATTTCTATTTATACACAGCAACATTATATTATAAGTATCAAATTATAGACCTTGAGGTGCTAAATCACAATCCGAAGAACAATCAGACATGGAAGCTCGGTTGCCAGTACTTTCAACAGTACTCATTCCATATATATATGGCGTGTTCACTTGCATCCAATCAGTGCAGTCCATCTGTACATTGCTTGGAAGGAAGTAGCCAACGCCCATCATTGATTTATCATCAAGATTTTGGTGCCCATTTTGCTCAATCCCTTTTATCATCTTTCCTTGTTGAGCATTGTTTGGATATTGCTGGTCCATAATCATGTGATCACCTGTCAAAAACATATGTTATATATAGTTCAATCGTTTTAATTTTTTTTTTTATCATTAATTTTTGTTATTATAGAACTTTATGCGAAGCATTTTTATATTTGCGTGCGCTTATTAATGAATCATGACAATCTATCAACTATATATGTGTAAATCATGCAACGATGAGGCTATGAGGCTTATTTTTAAATTATAATTGGTTTGTATGAAATTGGGTTTATTTTAAAATTATAATTGAGTCAGGCTATGAGGCTTGGGATTTCAACTATAAATGATGAGGATAGAATGGGATGACACAAGTGATTTTTTTTTTCTTAGGAAAAGAAATATAAATATGCGTAGGAAGTAAGTAATTTATATTAATTAGCGCATATACACACACACACACACACACACACACACACACATATATATATATAATTCCTTCCACCACTTCTAGCGAATTCCAGTTATCATAAGCTTCCCTTACCAAACTTTCAATATAGGCCTGCAAATAATGTTACAATCGAAATTAAAACATAGATTAAACACATATATAGATATAGAATTTGCTCATATATAATATGCAACGCTAAAAATTGAAAAAAAAAAATGAAAGCGTAACAAAAATAGAATTGTATACATACCCTACTAAAATTGTAACTTATTTCCCGAGTAGAGTAAACTTGCCCATTAACCTCAAACTTAAGAACTTGACAAATGGGGTTGAGAACAATAGATAAATCTCTTCCACGGTAAATATGCAATTTGGGACCCATTTCACAAGTCTTTGCATGCTTTAGAGTAACTTCCCACATTTTTTCCGACATCCCAACACCCAAAATCTGCTTTCATCATGGATAAAGAGGATAAACTAGTTAAAGAAAAGCCACTAGCTTATTAACAAATATTATATGTTTGGATAATATTGTTTGTGGGAAAAAATATATACGTATTTTGGATAATATAGTTAAAGTTTACTAATTAGAAAAGACGAAACTTTAATTGCTTACTTTTCTAAGTTTTTGCGCGTCGATAACAGACAACTTTAGAAAGTCTTGCACTGTTGTAACACCCTTGGAAGAAAGCTTTTTGTGAAAAGCTCCGTCTTTGCCAATCTTTTCCAGCCTCCAGACTTCGTCTTCCAACTGTGGAGGATGGTGTTTTTTGTATACTAGAAAAAAGAAAATATAAATCAAAATCAGTACACGGTTTTTTTTTTTTTTTTTATAATCAATAAAATCCATACACAGAGTAAAATGTTATGTTATGTCCCTAATTAATAATTTTCATATATTCAAATATCATATTAATTTCATGAAATTTTTAAGCATTGATATAAATTGGGTGGTATTGCTTCGACTAGTTAATAGGGTAATTTGTCCTTGGTTCATGATTTTTTTTTTTTTTTTTTTTGTCTTTTTTGGTAGAAAAGGGTTGGTGATAACATAAAACTTTTCCAACTTGTCCAAAAAAGTTGACCCGGCCAAGCGCGTTAAACATAGAACAAAGGAAAGAAAAGGACAAAAGCACATGCAGAATAATCTGGACCATATAATATACTATATCCAGTTGAGTTTTACAATATTAAATATATCACATAGGAGATTTAAGCTTTTTGGCTGTTTTTGTCTGAAAAGTGATTTGTTTTAAGGTGAAAAAGATGGCCCTTTTTCTTGTGTGAATTAGGCCGGTGACAATACAAGTTACGATACGTGACACAATAAGAACACAAAAAGCACGATTATCATAAAATTGACTCGAATTAACTTGAGTGAACCAGATGATAATTAACCATCAATCAGATCATGTGTTCTTAATATCTCTGCTAACTATGACAATTATCGATGACAATTATATGTATAAAAGAAAATAATTAAAACTAGTTTAAAACTTCTTTTGAAATGTAATATAAAAAAGTAACCATTGTTGTATCAATATTTAAAAAGAAAAAAAATAAAAGAAAGAAAAAAAGGTAAGATATGTATAACATGTGCTCGTGTTTGTGTTTGTTACTGTTGACTTGAATAAATTAGACTTGACTACACCAGTTGTTGAGACAAGTAGGTTTTCTAAGTCGCTGATAATAAATAAAGAAATAAGAAGAATAAAAAATGATTGGTTGCTGCAACACGCTCTGGCAGTTTATCCCAACTTGCTTTAAAAGGTTTTAGTTCTACCATATCTTTTTAACTAATTAATGTTAGTTTAATCTGGTTTGTTGGAACAAGGGCCTGGAAACACCAAGATTTTGCTCCTTTTGTTAATTTAAACTTACTTACAAGGAAGTGAAAATAATTTTCTTTACTATGTGCACCATAAACAATTATTTTTTCAGTATTTAACTATATATCACTTTGAATAAATGCAAGGTAATTAACCAGACTTATATTTATTTTTCATAAATTTTTCAGTAATTAATCATTGTTGATATCATATTATGCGCTAATATATAAAAACACGAAGCAATAAAACAGTACAGTGTTTTATTATAATTGCTCGCTTCGTTATTTCTAATTATGAAGTAAGCGAGAAGCCTAATATATAGAATAACGTTTCAAAATTAAACTAAGGTTTGTTTGAATGGAAATTTCAAATAGTACTCTTATTCATAGAAATCATTTCGCTATGAAAAAGATATTTGCTTTTATTTATTGTTATTGTTGTTGTTGTTATAATTTTGTAAACGAATAGCTGAAACTTTTGGTGAGAACAAATGAAAAGATAAAAAAAAACCGATTCACCGATATAAAAACTAGAATGGTAACAAAATATATAAGGCATAAGAACTTACATTCTCCACGATGATCTTTGACAACAAAAGGCTCGGTCATGGCCTCACGAATCATCAAACCCTGAGAGTTTGCACGGGGGACCACCCTCGCGCCAATTCTAAACTTGCGGCTCCGAATCCAGCTCGAGTTATCGGTGAACTCGATGTCTCCAACCACCACAAAGCCGTCCCTCAAAGTGACGGTCAATTCCCCGTAAAGCAACGGCCGCTTTCCGGTTCTCTCCTTGACAATGCTATTATCAAATTGGTCGCTCGTCCAAGTATCATCTCTCGGAGGAAAATCCCCATCAAGAACGAGTATTTCTATTTTGATTGGATGAGGGAGAGAAACATGCACCATTTGATCATTGCCGTTACTTTTGTCCACTAAATTGATTTGAAGGGGATTTCCTTCATTGTCTAGAATCTTGCTTCCGGTGAAGATTGGAAGTGAGAGTTTCTTGGAGAAAACTAGTTGTAGGCTTGACGGTTCAAGGGCTTGGATTCTTATCGATGATGACCTAGTTAAAGAGCGAGTGCATCTTCTTAAACCGTGGTCCACTTCTTCTTTCACCTAATTAAGAACATTGAAAAGAGAAATAAGAAAAGGATATGCAAATATGCACCAAACTATTTAATTAACTTGATATATATATATATATAGCTTCCCCTATTATAATGGTATAATATTTTTGTCAATCAGAACTGTGGAGCAAAAACTGAGAGATCTTTTTGTACATATATAGAACATAATTAGAGATTCCAATTATTTAGTGCACGTACAAATATTTTTATGTAGCACCCAAATGAAAGTATCAACACCCCAAAATCTGAATTTTATCATATTAACAAGATGGTTACAAAAATATAAAATAAAATAAAATAAAAAAAAAAGGTGCAAGCAATTTTTTTTTTTTTTTTTTTTGGCCCAAGCAAGATGTGCATACTCTCAAAATCTAATATTCCATGCGTGTACTTTGCAAGGGAATTGAAATTTTCTTCATTTAATTTAGACTTCTTAATTAGTATTTTATATGAACGTCTATACATGTATAATTAGCAATTGCATGAATATATGTGCATATATATATTTATATAATTTTATCGTAAAGAAAATTCAATAGCATTAATTTATAGTACTTTTCAATCATTTAATGACATACCACTCTCCTCAGCAAAGGTTCCAAGGATGAGAAGAGGTTCTGCAGGGAGTTGACCATAACTACTTCTCCAACAACACTGACAAGATAAGAGAAACATTAATTATAATTATGATATATCAAACATTTATAAGCTACAACAGCGGAATCTTTGTTTAGCATGAATACTAAGAGAGAATATTAAATCTATAAGCAGATAATTAAGACATATAATTAGTACTACATAAAGAATATTCTAAATAACTAGCACGTACGAAGCTAGAGAAATTCTGGGCCTCTTCTGGATCTCCTCCGGCAGATCTTTGTCGGATTTCGAGTCGCTAAAAAACCGTTTTCCTGCCATTATGGTTTTCTCAAATAGTTATCAAAAAGATGACGAGAGAGAGAATTTAAGCGAGATCAATCAACAATAATGGAGGAGAGGGGTTTGAGATAATGGGGATTTTATAATTTTCAGTAGCGCTGGTGAAAGACTGCGAAATGGAGGGGTTTGATATATATACACATATATAATATTGTAAAATAGAAGCTTCGTCGAATGGCAAAGGAAACATCTTGGTAGGATCAATGCAAAATCGACGTGACCGACGCGCGCGATCATCTGATGCAAGACTTTGACGTCAATTCCCTCAAGTCAACCCACATATATACATATATATATATATATATATATATATTTCAGACCTTCTTAATAGGTCGA